TTCAGATTTCCATAAAATGACATGAAAAGAGAGGCTCAAACATAATAATTGATGAGAATAGAATTTTTTATTATAGTCCTTCATATTCATATACAATACTATATAAATTTTATTGACCATGATGAGACACTTTAAAAAGAGATTGTGCTTTAAACTTTTCTTTTCTTTTATAGTAAAACAAACTATCCCACTTATTTAGATTTCACAGTTTAAATTTTAGGAGACCTGGCCTTAAAATGCATTACCCTTTATTTCTTGGGTATTAATTCTACTTATGATGGAGTCCTAGTTGCTTTCATGTACATTCTTTTACATGGTTTTCAGTTGTCTTCATTAAATATCAGCTTTTCTTTCTTTATTTTTTTAACTGCTAGATATACTTCAAATCTGTTGACACAATTCCAAGACCATTGTTTCTCTCCCTCCATGTTTTTTAAAAATGATTTTTTTTGTTTATCATAGTAATAAACATTTTATGAGAACTAATTGACCACAAACATACATTTGTAAACTTAACTTTTCAAGAATGAAATGAGCAACATTCAGAATAGTCTTTGTTAGTAAAAGTGAAAAGATTTTTGGAAAAAATTAATAGAAGAAAACGTCCATTTTCTTAAGATATTATAGGAAAGGCTTTTATCAGATACAAATTTAAGGTTAGTATTGGGTTACTTGCTTCTTGAACGCAAATGACAATGATTATTTGGCCTTCATTTAATGAACCTAGCAAGATTTATCTTTTCACATGGGGGCATTAGTCAAGACAAATTCCATCACAACTGTTGCCACACATTTCTTGCCATGTGCTGCTTTTACACAACTTACTTCAAAGGACTATAATTTCAGTATTTCATCACTTTAACATTTCATCTGTCATTCTGGCAATATTTGATGCCTCTTTTATCCTTCAGTTTTTTTCTCCATATAAACTATTAATATATATGAAAATGCATGTGTCTCTCTTAAGACTCTCATTACCATCTTGCCTGCACTGCTAGTTTTGCATGCAGCCTGCAGTAAATTCTGTGTGGATGGTCTAACTAAGTTATGGAAACACCAAATGTGATTGGACAGATTCATAAAATGTAGTCAGGTCATACACTACTGAATATATATTTCTTCTTCCTCTACATTCACACATAAGGCAGTGAGTTTGCATATATACATGCTCTATGGGAGAAGTCTCAGCCACACATAAATAAGTTGATAAAGTCCAGGAGTCACATAGCACTTACCAGACATTGAGTTGCAGCTCATGAATCAGCTAGAGCTAACTATAAATAAATGGCCATGGGCTCATTACTGTGCTGGTTATGGGCCTTTTCCAGTGATTGGTTTTTAATCTAAAAATAGGGACCAGTGGGTTGTTTCAAATATTTCATGTCAAGAGAGGAAATGTCCATAATCAGCTGCTTTTTTTTTTTCTTCTTGAATCAGGGCTCATTGTTAATATATAATAGCTAGGAAAAACAGTCGGCTTCAGGATTTCTGGCTTGTAATTTACCTCAGATGCCAGAGCACAGAGCCTTATATAACCCACATTAATGATTTATCAGTCCTGTGTTCCTGTTTACTAATTTTCTGAAATGAATTTGCAATTATGTCATAATATCATAAAATTAATCTCAGTTAGTTAGCTGGTTGGTTTGCTTTCTGGGCATACAGTCCATTTGTCATGATTCTTAATGTCTGTCTTTTTTTTTTTTTTTTTGGTGCAACAGTGTATTTGTCAGAAGTCTTTTAGTTTCAAGTGACAGAAATGAAATTTAAAGTTGTTTAAAAAGAAAATCAACTGGTTGACTTGATTCCTTGATATGATGTGCTTCAACCAAAAACAAGGTTTTGGAGAGAAGTCTCCCCACCTCCCTTTCTTACAAAAGAGAATCTTACTCATTCTTCTTGAAGTATATCTTTTCTGGGTTCTGCCAGGTCTTCCAGAGTTCTTACCTACAATGCCCAGGAGGCATTAGCCCTTTCTATGGAACCATTTACCTACAAGAACAAGTGGGAAAAACATGTTCCCTGCTTCATTCAGTGGAAAGAAACAAGCTATCTTTCCATGTTTTAACAAAAGCCCTGTTGGCTTAAATCAGTTAAGCTTATTAGACACGGTCTGCAGGAGACTGGGGAAGGAAAAAAAAAAAAAGCATTCTTCCCTCTGTTAAAATAATAGGACTAAAATTCTAAAGTACATTTTAGTTCCATAAGACTGTGATTACACAAAATGTTTACACCTCTCAGGATTGTGTTTAGTTGGTGTCCAGACCAGTTTTAAAGCATAATGTGAAGACAGTAATGCTAATGACTGATATGCTTTTATGCTCCCTTGTATTCTCTTTCCCTTCTTATGCCATTTTTACGTTTTCTGGTTTATGATGGCCAACAGAAGCAGAACATACCACATGCTTTTCTTTTTCAGGCTCAATTTTCTTTGTCAATAAAGACAAGATCTCTGGCTCCTTCTTTGAGCTACTAGTGTTGTGATGTCCCTAACCAATGCTCTCCCATTGGCTTTTGGTCAGGAGGTATCATTTATATCCTCAGTCAGGGAATCCTTCTAGTATGGACAGCTCTACATGTAATTGTTTCCTACGTACCCTTTAACTTACAGCTGCTTCACATTTGGACTGTAGCTGAGGCCAGATGATCTCAGATGGGAATTGCTTAATCATAAATTTCCTTGTGTAGCTGGGGTCTTTACATTTATCTGAGTAAAGATTTGGATAGGTCCAGAGAATGGCTAATGAACTGCTGGGGCAGCCTGCCAAAAGACGATTGGGATGGGCCGGTTTTCATGAAATTTCCCTTTATTTTTAAAATTATTTTTGGCTGTAAGAGAAAGTTTGTATTTGTGAGAATGAGGTCTGTATTTTCAGATTGATCCCTAGGCCTGACTCTATGACTTTTGTTTAAGTGTTTTGAGAGAGGAAGATGTGTCTATGGCACCTTTTTTTTGAGACTCCATTTGACAAATGGGTACATGCTTCACTACCTTAGTCATCTTACTGAAAATGACACTACAAAGTGGGGAAGAAGCACAGAAAGCCTCTCTCATGCTTGAAGCACATGGCTCTTTCAGAGCATGAAATTTCTGGGGGAAATTAGTAACATTTTGCTTTTAAGATTTTGTAGCCAACTTTGCAGGCAATAGGAAACAATATCTTTCCACCAAAAGTTGCATCTTCACTATGAACTGCTGCTGTGTTGAATTTAGTGAACTGTCTTTTTATTTCTTCTGCAGCAGACATAGGAGAAAGGGGTTAACATGGAAGATCATTGTGGACTCTCCCCTGTATTAGGGAGGTCTGTTAATGAACTCGTAGAGATACACTTGAGGGATTCTCCTATAAGCACTAAGTGAGACCCGAGAGCCCATGTGAACAATTTAAGCCACTAGTGAGTAAAAATGGAGTAAACGAGTGAGTGAAATGACTTTTAATCAGGCCATTGTTATATTTGATGAAGCTTGGGAAAATGGTTTACTCTTAAAAGCACAGATTTTGACTTCATGGTCCTCTTCAAGAGTGAGTGTACAAATTGATGCAAATATCTTAAGGGTAAAAACTTCAAGTAAATACATTGCTACTGTTTCTGTATCATTTATTTCTCAGATGAATTTTGGATCCACTAAACATCAGTACATAAATAATACATATATCAGTGTGTATGTGTATATATACATACATGCAAATTCACACATATACAATGAGAAACAATTTAAATAATGATTGGCCCTAGAATGATGCTGAATTTAGACTGTTTTGATTACTTTCATCCCATTATTTACCATTTATTAGAGGCACTTGAGTTACATCATCACAGATGTTTAGGATTGCTAATGTATAATAGACTTGCACTATTCTCAATATGTGATTTTCTGAAATGTAGACCAGCTATGTGTGCTCCAGGAAATACTCTTTAATTCCTGGGGATGTTTGCTGAGGTGAACCACATACAGAAGATCTTCCCATAACTGGAGGTTGGGAAATAAGAGGCTATTTTTTCTCTTTTCCCACTGACAGGAATTAAGGCCATTGTCTTTATCCCGAACATAAATCCTTTCCTTCAGGGTTTTGGGGGGAGGGACCATTAATAAAACACTGATGACCTCAGTATACTCTATAGCTTCATTAACTTTACCCAATTTAGAATATTTAATTCCACAGAAGTGCTTTTTTATTTTGACAAACAGATCTGTTCTAACCCATCTCAAAGTACCTAACACATTCTTAGGTTCCGATTTAGTCAGCCAACTAAGTCACATTTACAGCCTGATCGCTGTTGCAGCTTTTGTACAATTTTAGCAATGTTATCTTCATTATTTATTTATTATGGAAGCTCCAGGAGAACATGATCTTTTTTCTGTGGTTGCCTGGAGTTTGTGTTTGGACATACTGAACTAGTTTCTACTTCATTGGCTACAACTACATTTATGTGATTTTTTTTTTTGGTCAAATATTCCAAAGACTTATATAAACACAGCCAAGACAAAGCCTTCCTTTCTTGAAGGACATCCTCTAGGAATAGTAATATTTATGCTGTAGCTTATTCCCCTCTCTTCCTTGGGAGGATGCTGACAGCCATGAGAAATGTGTTTTCTTTTAGAAGGATCAGATGTCATTCTTTTCAAGCCACCAGAGCCACCTCCTACAGAACTCTGACTGCTTTGCTTACCTTGAGTTTCCCATTGATATTTCACTTAACTATAACTAGGTCAAGCAACGCTGACTGGGTCTAGACAGGACTTCATTTTTTTCCTCCCTTGCCATGTCTACTTTCGAAGTTTTCATTAGCAGTTATTTCCAGGCTTTCTCCTGTCTCTTCAAATCTGACATCGTATGTGTCCATTAAGATATGTAAAGTCAAACAGCAAGACTGAAAAAATATATATAGTGAAATTTGGAAATCATTCAAACACAGGCTTACACAAGAAATCAAGATCAATCTTCCTATATTCAGAGATTTTTGCTCATGATAAAATGTGGTTTCCTGTTTATTAGGCTAATCCAAGTGCATGAAAATCAGCTTGGTTATCAGACGGTTCTTGCCAAACTGTGTTTTTGGATGATGTAAGTTCAAGTGATTAAAAATATAATCATAGAAAATCTTAAGTAAATACAGGACGGGAATATTGGAATATTCCTTGGTGAAATATATTTGACTAAACGGTTCCACTGAAACATACATCATTCTAACAGACCCAATAGATTTAAAACATATTAAAACATTTCATTTAATCAGCTATTTTATTTTATATACAGTGAACACTAATTTTTTTCAGATTCGCTGCTTAATGTGTTAAACAGTTTCTATAAGAACATCATTACTCACGACAGAGACAGGTTTTTGAAGGTAAAGCACATTTAAGTCTGCCCCTGTGACAGAGTAAAATACTTAAACTTCAAAATTGAGCACATGTATTTAATGTTATATGTAGAGATCCTATGTTAAATGTAAAAATGTACATACAAATAATGTTTCAAATGCACCTGATAGTCAACATTCATAAATCAACAAGTGTGGTTTTCTTGTGGTGTTTTTCTATTCCATTGTGGTGTGCTCTTGAGGAAACCACATCCAGTGGATCTGTGCAGAGTGGAATGCCTAAGTCTGTTACAGAAGATAGATGGCCTTGGAGGCAGGGAAAGAGATCCTGGAATGTTCAGAGAGGCCAGAGCTCTAGAGCAGCAAGCAGCCAAGACGATGGTAGCCGTGGACGTAATGAAGGCTGGAACCTAACAGGCTTTTCTTAAGAAAATTCATCTCCTGCTCCAACCTTTTCCTACTCTGTGTCCTTCACAATGTTTTTTCCCCCTCAAATCTATTTACACTTTTAAAAAAAGGTAGTAAGGCTTATCAATTAGCTAAAAATTATCTTTCACTTTTAGAAGAGTGAAGTAAATGATAAGGAAATGATATTGCAGGTAGTTTAAAAGGTAATGATGTGAATGTGACCTTAAGTTAGCTTAAATGACATAAAAACACAAAGTCTAGTTGCTGAGAGATTGGTCTCTTCCTCTTGGCTGTGTCTACCTGCAGTAGACCCTCTGTAGCCAGGAGGCCAGGAAGCATGCGTACATAAGTAGTGTGGCTCAATCCATAGCCTCCGCTGTTGTTACCAAAATTTAGTACATTTTCTTTAGTGAATATTTCTCCCTTTTCTCTAGCCCTTTAGGAAAATTTCGAGAGAATTTATATAATTGCTTTTTATAATTTTCACTAAATAGTTAATTGCTGAGGAGGGAGTCTCCTGAGCTCCTTAGTTCACCATTCTGCAATCCCTGTCTCCTTCATTCACATTCAAGTACGAATCTTTCAGTCATTATGATACAATGGTGATGTGTGTATTTTACTCATCATTACTCTTTGATTTTCCACTGTTTTTTCTTTATATTAATTTTGCTTCATGTGTTTGGATACATGGAGCCTAAAGGTTTTAAATTTGTTGCATTGTGGACGAGCTTAGGCTGGTGTGTTTGCTAAAGTGGCATCCTTAGTTTTCCTTTGCTTGGCATTTCTACAAGTTTTTCTCCTGATGTGTCATTTGATCCTGAATAATAACAGACTTAAAAAAAGCAAGCTAGCTAGTGCTGTGTTCTTCTGTGAATGTTAATATATCCTTTTTTTCCCCCCCTCTTTTTCTAAAATGAGCTAATGGCAAAATAGAATGATAGCCCTTCAGTGGTAGTTCTTTTATTGTTTTAATCTGAGATTAAAAAAAATGAAAAATCATGTCATAGCTAGGGAGAACAAGATAAATTATGATAGGTGATATTACTTGAAAAATTTTTTTCATTTAAAAATTGGAGTTGTTCAGAGAGAATGTGATGTGCTAGGGGGTGGTGGTCAGTTCATGATAGAGTCCTTGGGAACAAACAGAACCCTGAGGAATGATTTCTAAAGCTAGCTTACTTAAGACTTTGTTTTGAGTTTAGCACTCCTACAAAACCCTATAACATGATTCCTCAAAACCACCTTTCTTGTTCCCGGTTCTACGTAACAACCCTGGGAAGTGACCAAGAGAAGTGTTCAAATTTAAATATGTGGCATTTTCTCCCATTGCTTTAGTAAATCTACTATGTATTTTTTTTTCTCCATAAAATGATGCATATACTGGTTTTCCAACTACAATACCCCCAGGACTCCTGTTTTTGTGGACATGAGGGTCCTTCCATAGGCAGTTGGGGGGGGGGGGTGGCCACGAGGTGGGGGGGGTGATCACAGGGCACGGCAGACCTCTCCTGACCAGCCGGCTACTCCCCTCAGCAGTGTACTTTGTCGATCTACCTGTTCTGCTCCCCACTCTGTCTCTGGTGAATCCTCTCACCGCCCCTGCACCTTTGGCCTGTACCCCAGCTCTGTCTGCAAATAAATAAATCTTTAAAAAAATGAGGCTTAGGCCCACGGAGTAGAGGAAAGGACATTGTTAGAGTTCTAATATATTTTGTTCTGATTCTGTTACTGCCCCCGGCTCATTTCCCTTCAAATTGGGAATGCTAATTTCTTGAGTAAATCTGTGTGCAAGGTGGTGTTTCTCCCTCTGTGTGCCTATATCCAAATAAGCTATTTTATTTAATTCTGAAAGATAGTAAGGGAAGTGTTGCTTTCTTCATTAGACGAAGCTTGACGATAGCCTCACAGAACAGGCATAGTGAGCTGAGATCTAAACTGACGTCCTATATGAAGTTGTTGCTTTTTTTCACTAGACTCGTAGGGGAAAAGGGGGTGAGGTAGTGGGGGCATCTGTGGGATGTGGGCAAAATCAGCAAGAGGGGAAAGATTACTTAGGTTCCAGTAAATGAAGAGGAGTTTTAGTTAGCATGAGCTAGGGGAGAGTATGTTATCCTCTTTTATTTTGAGTATGAAATGCTCCTCACTTGGAATCTAAAATTTTAACTTTCTGGATCCTCAGTAAGTGAATTTGTGGTTACTAATCTTGGTATTTCTTAAGTTGGTTTCAGTTTTTCTTCCTTTAGTTTGCAAGGATGTAAACTGTAAATTTTACATCCTTGTAAAATTGTAAAACTGTGAAAAAAAAAAACACTTTTTTTTAAGCTACAGCTCAAAGCACTAGATGAGACTTTCATGGACCTTTTATAAAAAAGAAAAATATCAAGTAATATCTACTTATTCAAGACCACTAATAGGACAGAAGAATTGTTATTGTTGTTTCTTTTCCCGTCTCAGTCTCCTGCAAAAGCAATCCATTTTTTCACATACACATCATATTTATTGACCACAAATTTTTAATTTCCATCTTTAAACTTTATTTGTGTTCTTGCTATGAGAGATCATAGATGACATATGAGGACTGAGTGTCCTTATCACATCCCTCCTTTTCTCCCCTTTTTCAAATTTTTAAAAATTCAGCTTCTCATTTGTTCCTTTGTAAAGCCACAAATTTTCCTATAATCTCTCTTTATTTTTGTTCTATTTCTTTGCTTTGTAAATTTTAGACATTATCTCGTGACTCCTTGTTTTATTTGATGAATGTATTAACCCCCTGCCCTTCCTTCCACCTGCTCTTTCTTCTTTCTGGCTCCCAGCTTCTGATAGCTGCATTTTTACAAGACTATTAACCTTTTCATTCTATAGCTAGTACTATGTCATCTTTGTGTTTTGTGAGTCCTTCTAGAATTGGAATTTAATAAATACAATTCAAATTGTTTTTGTTTTGAATAAGAATAGCTAATATTGGTTGGGTTTACAATGAACCAGATCCTGTTCTCCTTGCTTTACATTTACTAACTCAAGTTTCCTTACATATATTTACATATATGGGATAGATAATATTTTTACATATTTTATAGTTTTATAGTTACTGAGGCATTGGAAAATTAACTAAGTTGCTCAAAGTCAGAGTTAAGTGTTGGAGCTAGGGTTTGCATAAATATTGTCTCACTCTGCATTTCTGCTTGAATTAGCTTTTGGCTAATGTACCAAACTACTCCAAAATTTTAGTAACTGAGAACATCAAACTTTTCTTTATCTATGACACTCCAGGCAAACATTTGGGGCTGTTCTTAGTAGGACAGTAAGAGATTTGGCTGATTCACTCCAGCATCTGTGGGGTGTGAGGCAGTCCTGCTCGAGGGGTTAGATGGATGTTGGTTCGGGTCAAGGGGAAGAATAGGGCAATGTGTGTCTCATCACCCAGCAGGCTAGTCTGGTTTTGTCCACATGAGTGCTGGCGGAGTTCCGAGAGAGAAAGAGAAGAAGCAGGCCAGGTCTCTTGAGCTTAGGCTTAGAAATGACATGTTGTCACTTCTACATTCTATTGGCAACTGAAGCATTGGAAGTCACAAAGTCATTTTAAATTCAACAGGGAACGAAATAGAATAAGTTTCTGTTGGGAGTTGCTGGGAGATTATACTATAGTAGTGTGGTTACAGAGAAAGATGGACAATGAGGCAATGAGGGCTTTTTTTTTTTTTTTTTTTTTGTATTCTACTATGATTCCCTTTACCATAACAGACATGACATTCTCTCGATTATGTAAACATTATTCACTTGAGACCCATAATGCAGTGAGTACATTTCATTCTCTGTAGTTTCAATGTCAATTTGAAAAATAAAATTGGTAAAATGGAACTCTTTCTAGAAACCATTAATTGCTCAATTATTATGATTTATTTTCATTTGTTTTCTATTCGGCCATTTATTTCTCATATTTCTTTTCTGGGATAATGATTACCACCACCCACGTAAAAAATGCAAAGTTATGTTTCTATACCTATGATAATTTATAGTTTTATTTTTTCTAATGCTTAAAATCCTTTCTATTTTTTTTAAAGTTATTCCTGGATCCAAATAATTCTTGTTAACATTAACAGATCATTTTAAAGGCTATGTTTTAAAAGATTTCTTTTCATGTATTCTTTGATTTATAGTTTATTCTATTTTTTTCATCTTTCTTCCTGCTTTTCACTCTTCTGGGGGGAGGGTAGGTCTTTACAACTTCTGCATAAGGCAGGGAAATATGTTATTTTGGTATAGATTTCTATAACCTACATAATTTCCTTCAGTATTTTGAAAAGCTCTCATATCTGTCTTCTAATGTCACTACTTCTAATGAGAAAACTGAGGACAGCTTGATGTGCTTGTTCCTTTGTAGTTTCTGTGTTTTCTTTTTTCTTATTCTTTTTTAAGAATAGTTTTCTTTTTCCTCTATCTGAAATTTTGGAGATTCTGTTAAAATCTGTTGGATCTTTAAAATTTAAGATTATATGTTAAGCTCTGAGAAATTCTCTTTTGTTACCACTCTCATAATCTTTTGTTTGCTCTGTTCTCTCTTGAGTTCCTGTTAGTGAAATATTTGACTACTTAGATAAATTTTGTGGCTTTATTTTAACTATTTTGAGTTATTGAGATAATATTGGCTTACAGCACTTCATGATTCAGAGGTATAGGACATATCACACTATCTTCATAATAAGATACCCATAGTCCTCTGCCACAGCCCATTGGTCATCCTCCACAGCTTGCTTTCTACCCTCCCATTCCCCATTTGGTAGCTTAATTATACAGGCATATTTTTATGGTATCTTATTGCTTTGGTTTTTCTGAACCTCTGTTTTGTTTGTGTATATTCCACATATAAGTGTAATCATCTGATACTTGTGTTTTTTCCTGCTGACTTACTTTGTTTAGTATTATCTTCTCCAGTTCCATCTGTGTGGTAGCATGACTTTTTCCTCTTTCTAGCTGAATAGCAGTCTATTGTGTGCACGTACACACAC